GTGCTCTGCTTCGGCAGGGGGGTTGGACTGGGTGACCCCAGACGTCCCTTCCAACCCCTACTATTCTGTGATTCTGTGATTCTGTGATTTTCCACTGTTGTGAAAAGCTATATTTAGGGGCTTTGTCTTAAACAGAGAAAAAACAACGTCAAGTTTACTAGTTTTTTTACCAGAAAACAGTGATCACATCTCTATCTTCATCCTTTTTGGCTTCTAGAAGGAACTGCCACATGCTGACATGCCTTGTGTGCCAGTATTTTTGCTACACAGATTAATTTATAATGTCAATGGGAAAACATTTGAATTAATCTTTGTATCTCTTCCTGATTTTACTCTGAGGTCCTTTTGAACAGGTTACAGAGGTTTGAGACCTGTTCTGGGTTAAGAAAGGCTCAGGAAAAGATAAATTAGCTTCATACTTGACTGCCAGTGTTGGGTTGGTGAAAGTTAACTGTTTTCATGGCCAGTGATTCAAAAAACCTATTGCAGGCAGCAGGAACTAACCTCTTCGTTTTCGGCTGAGTGGGTTGCTTAATTGAAACCGTAGAGCAAACGTAATTGTTTCAGTTAAGTGCTTCTCATACCATTAGATATTCAGAGTACCTGACATAATTAGGAATGCGATTTAGAGTTCAAGAGGTTAGAAAATACAGAGTAAAAATATTCCTCCTACTGGGATGATAAATGTTAGTTTCTCTTGAAAATAAATCCGGAATATGCTCTCTTAACAGAAAGTGTTGTAAAATTCAAGAGCCTTTTATCTGAGTAAACTGTTTCACCCAGGCTATACTCCGAAGTACTTCGATGTGTATATGTAGTTAATGATTAAATATGCAAGGACAGAGAGCATGAGAGTGAAAGATAAAAGCAGCAGCAGAAAGAAAGAAAAATCGGGAGAAGAAGTTGCAGAGGAGAAGGTTGTCGCAAAAAATAGTGTAAGAGGTACAAATGAAATCAGTCTGGGACTGAAGTGATTGCAAGTCTTAAGAACGCGGAGTTACCAGAACCCAGGAGATGGGTGGAAACTGAGCAGAGAGTGAACAGAATCATAGAATAGAATCACAGAATCGTTAAGTTTGGACAAGACCTCTAAGATCAACTCCAACCGCCAACCCAACCCCACCATGCCCACTAAACCATGTCCCCAGGGGCCACATCCACACAGTTTTTGAACCCCTCCAGGGATGGGGACCCAACACCTGCCACCACTGCCCTGGGCAGCCTGGGCCAAGGCCTGACCACTCTTTCAGCAAAGAAATTTTTCCCAATATCCAATGTGAACCTCCCCTGACACAACCTGAGGCCATTGCCTCTCATCCTGTCACTGGTTACTTGGGAGAAGAGACCAACCCCCCCTCACTACACCCTCCTGTCAGGGAGCTGGAGAGAGCGAGAAGGTCTCCCCTCAGCCTCCTCTTCTCCAGCTTGAACAGCCCCAGCTCCCTCAGCCGCTCCCCGTCAGACTCGTATGTTCCCTTGGGGGAGGTGGTGGAGAGAAAAATGGACAGGAGTATTTTTTATTTGGTAAATTTTGGGAAGTTAGAATTTTAACAGGCCGTGCTGCAATAGAAATGGTGAAGAAGTATCTCCGTGGTAGAAATCAGGCCGTGGTCCTGCATGCACGATACAGAGAGCACGAAGCAGGGACAGCACGGACATGACTGTCTGGGCAGAAGCAGCAAAGAAGAAATAAAAGAGCACACGAGGACTTTTCCCCAGCAGAAGGTTGACTTGTCTGAGAGAATTAGCTAAAAGAGCTTGAGGCAAAATTGCAAGTTGCCTTGGCCACAGCCACGGAATGTAAAGGAGGATTGAAGGAAAGCGCCGAGAAGTGGAATGTTTATATACAAAAAAATGTGAGGTGAGATCAGAAATGAGCGCTGTAGTGTGCTGTAGAAGGCCAGCGGTCTTTTCCGAAAGCAGAGGGATGGATGGAGCTCCATCGGGAAGGCCACGGGAAGATACCGAACGCGTGTTCAGTTTTACACCAGAAAACGGTGCACGCCAAGCGCTGAGTCCCGGCAGACGCGGTGGCTGGGTGAGTCTCACCCATTCTCTGCCTTTCCATTTGGTACAAGTTTTCTGCCGTGTTTTTCAAAGACGTGAAGTTGTCCCTGAGATTTTGAAGGGCAGGTTTGTAAACCACTTCGTGGCTTTTAAATGTTGCCACAGAAGTTACTTGTAGTATAGAAATTTTTTTACGTGAAAAGAAAATATAGTATTTTTATTTATAGTATAGAAATTTTTTTTAAGGGAGGTTACTAAGTGAATTCAGTCAGCTTGGTGCCTTTTCCTTAGTGATGGCCTTTTCTTCAGCCTTTATTAATCCCCACTCCTCTCAGTGGCACTATGAAGTAATTTCAAGACCATTAATTACACAAGAGATTTTTGCACACGTACGATCCGTAGAGGAATCCTTCTGTAACACAATTATAATTCTTTTTGGTATGTGAAAACCAAACACTGGCAGCATT